TTATAGAGCAAGGGAGAGCCCGTCCTTCAGACCCTTACTTCCGGATCGAAAGCAGGAGGCAATTACAGAAGCAGAAAGCAGAGCATTATCTCTGCTATGTAGATGATAAATAGTCTAGAGAAGCCAAAAGAGGTTTTTGGCCTCTTAGGCCCAAAACAAGCCACCGGGCTGCAAAAACAACTGGGCTGCAAACACAAATCACTCTCTAGTCACTGTGTTGTGTCTTAAAATAGCTTTCAATTTCTCCCAACACCCAGTCACAACCCAGGGACTGAGGTTGCTTCACCCTGGTGAACACCTAAGCCTCTGCTCCTCATACATAATAGGCTTGACCTGACCCAAACATTATGGCTCAAGCAGAACAGCTCAAAGCCCCAGAGCCAATAAATCTAAGTGACCAAGAGTTAGCCAACCTATCAGATGCACAGTTCAAAACACTGGTGATCAGGATTCTCACTGAACTGGTTGATTTTAGTTGCAAATTAGATGAAAAAATGAAGGTTACACTAAATGAAATAAAGGAAAATGCACAGGGAACCAATAGTGATGGAAACAAATCTGGGACTAAAATCAATGGAGTGGACCAAAAGGAAGAAAGAAATGACCAAACAGAAAAGAATGAAGAAATAAGAATTCAAAAAAATGAGGAGGCTTAGGAATGTCCAGAACATCTTTAAACGTTCCAACATCCAAATTATAGGGGTACCAGAAGGGAAAGAGGAACAGCAACAAGTGTAAAACTTATTTGAACAAATAATAAAGGAGAACTTCCCCAATCTGGCAAAGGAAAGAGACTTCCAGGACATCCAGGAAGCTCAGAGAGTCCCAAAGAAGTTGGACCCAAGGAGGAACACACAAACGTACATCATAATTACATTAGCCGAGATAAAAATGTTGGAGAGAATCCTAGAAGCAGCAAGAGAAAAGAGACAGTCACCTATAAAGGAATTCCCATCAGACTGTCAGCTGACTTTTCAAAAGAGACCTTACAGGCAAGAAAGGGCTGGAAAGAAGTATTCCAAGTCATGAAATCCAAAGACCTACATCCAAGATTGCTCTATCAGGCAAAGCTTTCATTTAGAATGGAAGGGCAGATAAAGTGCTTCTCAGATAAGGCCAAGTTCAAGGAGTTCATCATCACCAAGCCCTTATTATATGAAATGTTAAAGGGACTTATCTAAGAAAAAGAAGATAAAAAATATGAACAGTGAAAGGACAGCAAACTCACAGTTATTAACAACCACACCTAAAACAAAAGCAAACTAAGCAGACAGCTGGATCAGGAGCAGAGCCACAGAAATGGAGATCACGTGGAGAATTAGTGACAGGGGAGTGGGAGAAAGAGAGGTAGGGAGAAGGTACAGAGAATTAGTAGCATAGATGGTGGGTAGAAAATAGACAGGGGGAAGGCAAGAATAGTATGGGAAATGTAGAATCTAAAGAACTTGTGACACACGGACATGAACTAGGGGGGGTAATGATGGGTGGGAGGGGGTTTGCAGGGTGGAGGGGAATGAAGGGGGGAAAATAAGACAACTGTAATGGCATAATCAATAAAATATATTTAAAAAAACCCATTTTGATAAGAACACACACACAAAAAAATCTTTTACCCATGTCAAGGGTAGAGGCTTCTTCAGTCTTCTTTATTTTTTTAGGTCTGTGTGGGCCTTGCTGAACTGGCTGGTATCATGCCTCTTCTTGGATATAATTTCTGGACTACTTCTGCTGAGGTGAGCATATTCTGCAAACGGGTCTCTAGATCGTGTCCAGAAGTGAGACACTATTATCACTGTTTAAAAATAAATGTTTTTACCTCCATGTTAGAGACGAAAGCAGAACAGGGTGTGAAGGGAGTAATATATGAAGAATAACACCCTCTTCTCTATCCTTCTGCCTTCTGACCTTGCTTTAAACTAAAATTAGGCAAAATGATTCAGTAAAAGTATTACTTTATATTATTGCTGCTTTCCCAACAAGTGACTTTTTAAAAAATGCCTGTTTGTAGTCTCTCAAATTACATTTTCTGCAGAGAATAAGGGCAAAATATGAGTTAATCAAAGAACTCACATTCACACCATTGTTCTGAGCAGCACACATTTCTAATTTACTAACTTTGCCAGCAATACTCAAATTCTGTTGTTGGCGCTAGCTATGCAAATTTCTCAAAATAACCTAGTGATGGGAAGCAGGCTGGTAAGTCAGGGAAGCATTTTGTTTGGGGCAACTTAACACTGAAGAATAGAAGCTAGGCCTTGAGTGGATTGGTCCCTTGGATAGAGAATCGTCCGGATACCCCAAGGTTGCGAGTTTAATCTCCAGTCAGGGCACATACAAGGAGCAACCAATACATGAATAAGTAAGTGGAACAACAAATCAATGTTTTTCTCCTTCTCCCTTCCTCTCTTTCTCTGTAAAATCAATAAAAAATAGCTAAGAGACATTTAATAAAATAGTCATAATCAACATTTGCATAGACCTTCAATTTGTTAAGTATGTTGTATATATTCTCATTAATTCTTTCAATCCTGTGACATAAATATTCTGATCATTGCCATGTAGTCAAGAGATACTCCAAAGTCATCCAGCAACTAAAAGCACAACTGGTCCTGAAACCTAGGTCTTAGACTTCTTACTCTTAATCTTTGCAGGGCATTAACATTTCACCCAACATCCATTCCTGCCCTCTTGTTTGTTTTGTAGCTCCCTACTCACAGGTCAGGTCATTGCATCAGAGTGTAGCTGTGTTATATTCATCATGCAGTAACACATTAGAGTACAAAGATCAATTTTCTAAATACTGATTCCTAAGTAACTTGCAATCCATTTTCACTCATCATTCATCTAGAAAGCTGAAGAGTGATATATGGTACTGACGGGTTGAGAAATAGCTTGTGATTTTAAATGGGGGGGGGGGTCACCTTTTTGAAAAAGTGACATTTGAAGAAAGACTTAAAAGTAAGGAAGTTTACTTGCCCTGCTGGTGTGGCTCAGTAGATTGAGATCCAGCCTGTGAACCAAGGGGTTGCTGGTTGATTCCTGGTCGGGGCACATGCTTGGGTTGTGGGCCAGGTCCCTAGATGTGAGAGGATTGGTTTCTTTCCCTCTCTATAAAATAAGAGTAAAAGTAAGTTTGCCATATCTGGGGAAAGAGCATTCCAGCCTGTGGAAGCAATGTTAAACGTGCCCAAGGAACAGCAAAAGCAGGGTGCTGGAGAAGAGGTCAGAGGTGAGGGAACACGAGGTAGGAGACCTGACTTGAAGGAGACGTCCCTCAAGGAGACTTAGGTCATTGTATTACATGGACTTTGGTTTTTCCTTTTAATGAAATGAGATCCATGTGAAGGTTCTAAGCAGTGTCACAATCTGACTTATATTTCAAGAGTCTTTTCATATATGCAATTATTTTATTTAAAAAATTTCAAAGGTAAAAGTTGGTATAACACCTATGTATTCTGTACCTCATTAATCAATGTCAATGGCTAATGAAATATTTTTCATATATTTTGTGTATATATACATTTATAACTCAATAATCATAAAACAATGTTAGAGATTATGTACACGCCCCTTTGTCATGGAATTCCCTTTCTTGAAATATTTGGAGAGCATGGGACAGAGAGAGTGAAGGAGGGATAGAGTAAGCAGTTAAAACTTCAGAGTAATTTTGGGAGAGCTGGAAAACGTGACTTCAGGGATTTTATTTTGCTGGGGCAGTAAGGAGGGGTAAATAAACATCCTTAATGGTAGAAGAGGACTTATTTTATATAGAGAGAAATCTTAAGCTTACTTTATTTAGTGTGCTAGGAACAAGATAAGCAGAATTGGAAAGCAAACTAAAATTCCAAAATTAATAAAGGGAAGAGAGCAAGGTAATAAAATAGAAACTTGAGCAATCCAATGAAAAAAATGGAAGTTAAAATAGAAAAAAAATCAAAATATACATGCAACAATAAAGAATACTGTATTATTACACCGAGAAAATGATTACTAATAATCATGCCTTGTCTTGTTCCTACGTTAAGAGCACTAATAATTTGTATGACAAAATTTCCTGAACACAATACATTTTTTACATACACATTTAAGACGTATTATGTACTAAGAAATAACCTTGAATGTTTTAAACACCAGAAACATGCAAAAAACAGTTACGACTGATAAGAATACTAGAAAAGTGTCCTGTGTTTTTATTCAGGAGATACACTATAGGAAACCGGGTTAAGAAAACTTTGAAAAATATTTTGTATATTAAGCCGACTGGTGTGGCTCGATGGATTGAGTGCGGGACTGTGACCCAAAGGGCTGCCAGTTTGACTCCCAATCAGGGCACATGTCTGGGTTGAAGGCCAGGTCCCCAGTAGGGGGTACACGAGAGGCAACCAAACACTGATGTTTCTCTTCCTTTCTTTCTTCCTCTTTTCCCCCCCTCTCTAGAAATAAATAAGTACAATTTTTTAAAAAATGTTCTGTATATTAACAATGAGTTTTTTTTGGAGAACAGAAAAGAACAGTTTTTCCTTTGGCTTAAGATAGTCAGCAGTTTGAAGTTATCCCACTCAGAAGGCAGCAGCCCCCTAGGGGAGCCAGAGTCCCGAGGCAGGAACGCAGCGCGGGATTGCCCGGATCTTCATTCTCTGCACGATGTTTGCTGAGGTTCCCACCGTGATGGAGCTGCTGTGTTCACTTCTGATTCAGAAGGATAGTCTTTTGATGGTGTGATTTTTTCATCTTATTCACAGTGATGACTGATAATTTGTAAAAGGCTTTTCCAGTTTAAAATGTAAATGTCTATATCCCAACAGATGAAGTGGCTGGCATGCTGGGAATCGGAAGGTAACACCTGCCCCTCCAGTCTGTGGGGCCTGTGAACAGGAAGTGTGGAGGGTGTCCAAGCAGCCTGGAGTTCAGAGTCAGTGGCACCACGGAGTTCATCATGGTCACCTTTCTACCACTAATTATAATCCTAGCCGTACTCTTTTTTTCTTAGCATTATAATCTCACTGGAGGCTTTTCATTAATATCTTGTTCCTATAAAGCAAATGAAATGATCGTTATCTTTTAAAAATCAAATGAGAAAACACAAGAAACCCACTGCTGGAAGGCCAATAAAATTGCCCTCAAACTTTAGGAGAGTGGGTGGAATGATGTGCCCGAGTCCTTTCGGAATGGTGTTTTCAGCCAGGTTATGCCTCTAACGTGTTCCTGCTCTGTGCAGCCACAGGCAGGAGAGGTCCCCGAGTGACTCTTTTACCATTTTCTCAATGGCCCCAGGATGTCATTCAAGAGCTATTCAAAGTGACCTCAATTGTATTTAACTTGCTTGGCAGAGAATTGTGGCAGAAAGCAGGACAGCCAAATGGGAAAAAGATAAGCGTACACTCCCTGTGCCAGGGCTCAGGGTACTGGCAGTCCTAGACTGGTGGAGGGTGAGTGTGGCCTGAGGGGCCCACCCACTGTAGACTGCTACCTTTCACCAGCCGTGGTGTTCAGTAACCATGACACCAAAGGGGTGGCGGGAGAGCTAGAAGTGGAACCCAAGATGCTTCCCTGCAGCTACGGGTGGCAGAATGGATCCCTAGAAACCAAGACTGGGCTGTACCAAGTGCCTCTATTCAGGGGGACACCTTTCTTCCCATTTTCCCTTTCCATAATGAAAATTTCCTTTAAGCATCCTACTGATCCACTTCTCCATTTGTACTTTCAGAAAACACCTACAGCTGCAGTGTCTACCTACCTCTCTCCTCTCCATATTCAACCAACACATTTTCTGTACCCTTTACTCCGCTGAATCTCTCATATCATCTAAGCAAGTATATTATTTGTACTTTATTGAAACTTCACTTGGAATTAAGTACACTTCCCCATGCAAATTCTCCCCATTAACTTCATATTCTAGCTTTCCTTGTTTTTCTCTGCATCCTTCAACATACCCACCCAATACTGCTGTTCCCTAAAGCTCTGTCCTTAGCCAGATTTCTTTTGTTTGTTAAGGAGGCATCTCTAGAAGTTGCCAGACCCATTAAACACAAAGAAACTGTATTATCCCACAAGCTTTCTTTAACAGATCTTATGCCCTTCCCTCCTCAGCAATGAAGCCTGTCCATTTACTTGTTTAAAACCTATTAGTGGCCCATCACCTGGGATGAGCTGCCTGACTTGACCCTTGTCTGGCCCTTGACTACTAGAAATTGTTTGCAGATGTATGTTTTTCTTGTTTACTCATTTAATTTTCACAATATCCTTAGATAGTCATTCTTATGCCCATTTTATGAGAAAACAGAATATGGTTTCCAACTATATTCTGTCACACTAAACTGCTTGCAATTTCTATGTTGTCCTAAGTTCTTTCACAGGATTGGCTCTGGTTGCTGTGCTGGAAAATGACCTTACACCCCCCCCCCTCCTTTCCATCTAGTCGGTTCTTCCCTTTTGTCAAGAAATCTTTGTTATACCAGTCAACACATGGTATGACAGCTGTTTACAAATGAATCATCCACATTAGACAGTGGATACCTAAAGGAAGGAGTTTGTTTTTTTTTTTTTTGCTGGTCATTATTTCTGTGCAGAGCTTGTACTTAGAATATAGCAATTATTAAGGTTTGTTTCTCTAGAATTACGGGTCTCCAAGTGGACAAAAATGTTCTTTTTCCTAGGAATACACTAATGGGTACTGATTTTCTTGAAACTCTTTACTGGTAATTTATGATGGAAAAACAGGGCTAATTAACATAAACATGCACCCCCCTCTCCCTTGACTAAATCCAGGTGCCTATTTTTTGTTTGTGGAACAGCACTAAGTAATTACCTATGAACACATCTGGGGCACAACATATTGTCCTCCAGGTCCGGGGGCGGGAGGTTGCAGGACGGGAGCAAGAAGAGTGCACACACTTTCCCTTGTTTTTCAGGAACCCAGGCTTGCCCAGCATAAAACTGTAGCTTAACCCAACCTTCTGTGTCTGCAGCAATACTTCGCCCATGGACCACACACCACCTGACACCTGGGGAGGGAAGAGAGGTAAGTGTGAACAGAGCAAAACCAAATTATCATGTTAGAAATTGCACCACAGCCTGATTCTTTCTCAGGTGCTAGCTCTTGAGATACAAACCTTAGAATTCTAATTTAACCTGCTCTCATGAGTTCCTTTTTGAAAACAATGCAAGGCAGTTCTTGTTACAACTATAAAAGGAGAGAAAAACTCATTGGAAGTGGTATAGGTGCAAGTGGGTAAATGGTGGTGTAGGGGAGGCAAACCTTCACCTCTACCCATCTCAGGCTTTCAGCTGGGACTAATTTTTTTTTCAATTTCTAAAAACTGTATTTTCTTTATTTTTGGAGAAAGGGGAAGGGAGGGAGAGGGAGAGAAACCACATCAGTGTGTGGTTGCCTCTAACGCTCCCTCTATCAGGTACCTGGACTACAACCCAGACATGTGCCCTGACTGGGAATTGAACCAGCAATCCTTTGGTTCATAGGGTGGCACTCAAACCACTGACCCACAATAACCATGGTATGAGACTTTTTGAAAAAAAAAAAAAAAGATTTTTTTTATTTTTAAAGAGAAGGTAAGGGAGGGAGGGAGAGAGACATCATATGCAAGAGATATACTGATCAGTTGCCTCTCACATGCCCAAACTGGGGACCTGGCCTGCAACCCAGGCATGTACGCTGGCTGGAAACAGAACCAGCCACCTTTTGTTTCACAGCTCGGCCCTCAGTCCACTGAGCCACAGCAGCCAGGGCTCACCTGGGACTCTAGCAAAAAGACAGATGAATAAGTAAAAAATAGTATATTAATGTGTGAAGTGCATACCATGTGAGAGAAAACACAACAAAAACTAACTCATAATGGTGGTTTAGAATTGTGTCTTATACAACATGTTCTACGAAGAATAAATTTGTAGAGAAATAATAGAACAAAGGAGAGCAGTTTTAGGCTTCCAAGGGTGGTGAGTCGTGAGAGGGTGAACATAGTAGAGGAAACTGATGGAGTCAAGTTTATTTGCAGAGGGCCCTGGTACCATCTCTGGGTCTATAAGAGTGTCTCCAGCACAAGAATTTACATACTGCCTTTAGGCAGAAAAGGCTAAGTTTTTCTTTCTTTTTTTTTTTAAGTTTGTTTATTTACATTTGCCTGAAAGCAATTTTTTATGTCAGAGAGGTGTCTGTGGTATCCTACCTATGCTGGTATCCTTTAATAGACTAAACCAGATTGGTCTGGAATAGCCTTCAGGGAATAGATTCAGGGGTGTCAACTCTTTCACAGGCAGTTCATTGAGATCAGCAGTCTATGGTTTTGTTTAATGGTATCATAATGGTCTTCTGTAATTCTTACATAGGCATCATAAGTATTATTAACTTCTTTTTCAGTGAAGAAACTGGGAAACTATTTGAACTAGTTTAAATAGTCTGTTAATGTCACTCACTTAAAAGATGTTAGAAGATCCAGGGCTTAAGGTCAGGCAGTTGATTTTAGAGCCCTTACTTCTAATTCCTTACAGAAGAGGAAAGAAATGAATCTTAACAGATTGCTATCCCCCTTGTGATGACACCAGCAAGTTAAAGCAGTGGTTTCTCAAAGTGTGGTGGTCCCCCGACTAGCATCATCAGCTGGGCCTGGAAAATTTTTAGAATTGCACATTCTCAGGCTCTATCTCAGACCTGAATCAGAAGCTAAGCTGGGGTTGGAGAGTGTGGGACGTGGTGGTGGGAATCACCAGTCCTTCAGGTAATTTTTATAGCCTAAAGTTTATCAGAGATGAATATCAATTAACTGTATTTACTCATCTGAACCAGAACCAGCTTTTGATATCGGGTTTACCAGAGGCCTCTTGTGTTGACTGCGATGTCTCCATCTGCCCAGCACTGGCCGCGATTTTGCTCCAGGAAGCAAACACAGCTTCTGGTGTGGAAGTTGTCACGACAACACCGTCCATTCGCTCAAGGAGAGCAGTAGCCCCTCCAGGCACCCCCTCCTCAGGGGGAGCAATCATTTCAGGAAGACCAAAACTCTCCAGAGTCATTCCCTCCTTTTCCATCTTCAATTTCCTTTTCGATTCTGTCAACACCCTGGACTCCTTTGAGGAGACAGGAATATACTACAAACAGAGTTGAAAAGATTAAAGTGCTGTCAGAAGTGCAGCCTCATTTTTATTACTTTTTGAAGCACTGGTAAAAAGCGAGGACTGGGGATACTGTGCCTTAAGAAGGAGAGGAGTGGGAAGGAGGGGCCAGGACAATCTCTCTACTCACTTTTTCATGTTGAAGTAGGTGATTAGGATGAGAATGACAACTTCCACTATGCCAAATTTCCTACAAATTACTTACCTTTTGATTAGGATAAGCATAGTCACACAGCCTCTTATATGCTTCCACTTTCTAAGATGAGGAAAATGAGTTAATGAGCGTTAATGATTAAAGGAAGGTTGTTACCCTTCCTCCCCTCAACGAGTCCAACACCCCGGGCTCTCACCAAGCCTTTGGTGCTCAGCTTTAACTGCTGGCACCAAGCCCTCACGATGTCTCGATGAAGCAGGTCAACTGGTGGCAATATAACGGGCAACGGAGGGATTGGTATCTTCTTCCGAATTCTGACTCTCTCTTTGTTTTGTGCCGTCTCTTGTGGACAGGAATCTTGAGGAGAATCGGATAAAATTAGTAATAATTAACTTTTGTGTAACCTTTTAAAATGTCAGAAGTATAATCCCTTTTAGTTATCACAGTACAGTCCCCATTGTACAGTTCAAAGACTAATGAGCCCCTTAATCCAGACTCCAAGGAGGTTGTTGCCTAGACATTTCCAATCCAGGGGAATGATAGAAGTTTTTAGTCCTGAGATCATAAATACTCAGCGATTCCTTGATCTCTCACAAAATAGATAAACCACTCTGCAGTGCTGCAAGCATTTACCCATAAACCCTCCACCCCACCCCACCAGGGCAGCACTGTTCTCATCATGCACAGGTGTCCTGCTGCACCTCACACTCGGCATTCAGGAGAGTCTCGTAGAACACAGAGTTCACGTTAGTAGTCAGGTATAATTTAGGCATTTTACCTCATTACTCCATGTAAATTACAATTAACCTTCCACCCCACCCTCGAGACTCGGCCCAATTGGTATTATCCTCACTTTTAAAAAAAGGAAGTGCAATTTCATAAATGTGATTTCAAACTTACATCGGTCCATCCCTGAACCATCATACACAGAGGTCCTGAACTCCAAGCCACGAGTTGGAACAAAAATTTTAATTTCCATAGCCAACAGTCTTTTTTTAAAGGAATGGTTTTATTAACCCCAAAACGCTGGCTAAAAGTGACGGGTCTTGGGACATTGAGTCCAAACCACCAGGAGCTTTACGAGGTGGAAAAGATACACACGTCCAACAACTTCAGACTTTACAAGTGTATGAGTTTTTTTAAGATAGGGAGAAGGGGGGTGGGGGGGAGAGAGAGAAACACCACCACCAACACATCGATTTGTTATTCTTTGGCTGCTTTTACATGTGCCCTGACTGGGGACCAAACCTGCAACCTTGGTGTATCTGTTAACACTAACCAACTGAGCTATCTGGACAGGGCCTGTGAGTGTTTTCGTACTTAAATAGCAGGGAGGGAGAGAAAAGGTATAAGCCACCTAAAATAATTCACATTAGCTATCAGCAAAGGAGTGGGATAGTGAAGTGAGGTCAGGACTGGGAAAGGTGCAGTCACAAAGTCCAGACGTAAAGAAAAAGCCACCAGGAATTTAATCCAAACTCTAACAAATACAGAAAGAATGTGAGTAGTCTTTTCTTAGCTAGCCACAGCCATCAACAAACAGTTTTGTCTTTCTCTCAGTCTTGACCCACTGTAATTGAGAACACATCAGAATTTTCTCCTTGTCAGGGTGAAAAGCAAAATGATTAGAACCAAATATATTGTGGGAGTTTGGAGACAGAAAGTATTAACAGGTGACTCAAAGAAAGTTTCAAAGGAAGTGTAGGACTTGTGGTATAGAGGGCAAAAATCTCTTTTCTACTCCACAAAAAACTCATCAGGCTTCTTACCCCTAAGAAATGGGATTTGAGGGACTTGATGACCTCTTACCTTTGTCACTTTTCATAGACCTTTTCCGTTTGGTTTCCTTCCTGGAGGTACTTTCTGTACTTGATTCACCGGCAGCCTGATGTTCCTCTTCAGCTTTTACTGGTTGAAAACTGGCGGAAGCCATTTTTTTCCCCCCTGACTTCTTTTTGGACTTACACTGGGGACAAAAAGAGCCGGTCAGTCATTCCTCTGATGTCTGACCCACCACATTACATTTCGTACCTGCTTTAAGTTAAGCTATACCCACAACACCAAGACAGTCACGGACTCCTTCAGTCACCGACAACGTGTAATGCCCAGATTTATTTATAAGACAGCAAAGTGATGTCAGAGAAATGGGAGAAGGCCAATTTGAATGTATGAGAGAAGACAGAAAATAATACAAACAGTAAGAGGAAACTATGCTCTGCTTTGGAGGAAGCCCTTACTTATATCAGCCACATTATCTTCATCTCTCACCTGGAAGATTTTTTTAACCCCATTTCTTTAGTCTTGACCTCTTACTAATAAATGTTTCCCACAGGGTTGTTGTATATCTATTCAATGGTTTCTCGTTAGCAGGGAAACAGGAAGATAATCAATCCACCAGCCTCTTATCTTCTACCCCACCCTCTACTATTCTCCATTGCCAAGTTCCATTCAGTCTCAGCCTCTCTTTCTCCTTTCCAACCCAGTTCCTTTCACATTTAGGGATTTCCCTCAGCTCCACCCCCACCCACTTCTATTTACATTTTAAAATCTTAATCTTTTAGAAACTCACTTCAAGTGTTAATTCATCTAGCATCAATTTTAGTTTTTACAGACCAAGTCAAACCTACTACGTATATTTCCTCATTCCCATCATTAGTCAATTGTAGTTTTACCGTTGCTTGAGATTTAATTAATACCTGTTACACCATTTGATTATAAGCCCCACAAAATGGGGCTTTCTCCCCATTCTTTCTTTCCCTTTCATGGTTGACACTCCATACTTACCGTTTATTTGAACTAAAACAAGAGGACAATGGTGGTATGGATAAAGTAACATTTCACATCTCTACCTTCTCGTAAATATTGTTCGACGCATTCCTTATTTTCTTTCATTTAATCTCACAACAATCTGGTGACAATTTATTATTTTGTTTTTTAAATGCTGAGGATTGGAGGTTACAAAATTAAGGGCACAGAACTAGTCATTTCAGATCAAAATTAAATCAAAAGTCAACTGACTCCCTCAGCTAAATTTTTTCCATTGTCCATCACCATGGGAGTGCAGGACAAATTAACATTTGTGTGACTTTTGTTTTACAGTCTATAACATTTTAACATTCTTATTCGAATTTTACATTTGCAAAACTCTTTCATAAAATACTCACTTTTGAGACTCAGAAGTCTTAAACTGAAAGGCTGAAAACAACCGGGTTCTCGGAAGAGACCCCGAAAGCAGTCAGTTTTTTTGGGCAAAGGAGTTCGATTCTTCTTTACTAAAAGAAACCAAATCGTTGCCACCCTGAATCTGCCTTTTTGGGATATTGATCTTAAGCCGTTTATTAAAGAAACAAGACTCCGAGGACTTTTAACTCTCCCCCTCTTCCTTCCCAAGAGATTCAGACAGAAACCTGCTTCAGGAAGGAGATGTTAGGGTGTTCACCTTAGCCTAATTTGAATTAAGTATGATAAACTGGAGGAGGTCAGGCAGGGGTCTGTTGGCTAGATATATCTCCATATCCCAGTTTCTACGTCGCCTAGGAAGGGTTTCCTGCCAGGGAAGTTCAGCTCTTACTCCACCACCTGAAAATTCCCCATTCTTACTTTTGAAATTTAAGACCCCGACTTCCCTTCCTTTTCGCTTTTGTCCAAGATGTCAGTGTTGCCCCACTGCCTGGGGCAATTTTCAGGCTCAGGTGAATCCCCCACAAACATGTATTAAAACTTCATTTTCTCCTGTTGGTCTGTCTCCATTAATTTGATTATAGCCCAGCCAGAGAACTTAGAAGGTAGGAGAAAAAGTAGTATCCTTTTAGCCCCCACAGCACGATGACGGGGCTAAAGCCTCTTTCCCTTTAGCTTCTGGCCCAGCCTTAGTCAAGTGCCTCTTCCAAAAGTCTTTGCCTCACCTCCCTTTCTTCCCATTATATTTCCTTCTGGCCCCGATCATTGATTCTGCTGACAAGATCAAGCATTTCCTCAAAAACAAAACAGGTGGCCCATTTCATATTATTTCCTCACTCCAATATACCAGGCTGCAATCATAAATAGAACTGTACTTTTAAGGAAAACAAAGTATACAGAGAAAAATCCTAAGGGGCTATTTATTCTCAAAAGAACCAGTGTATTCATGATTGAGGGAGACACACAAAGACAGAAAACAAAGCCACTAAAATGTACTTACCTTCTTGCCTTTTGCATTTTCCATATTCAGAACAGAACACAAGGGTGATAAAAAAGAAAATCTTCTTACTTCTGATGCGGCCTCTGGCCTAAGATTGCTTTTTAAAAAGTCTCCTCCCACTTCCTGCATCCAAAGGCACTTTTTCACTCCTCCTTTCGGTTCCCCCCTCCCACAATTTGGGAATGCTAAATGTGTGGACTACTTATGAGGGACCTATTGTGTGAATTAATAACATTCCTGACCCTTTTTTGTGTTGTTGTTTTTTTTTTATCCTCACCCAAGGCTGTTTATTGATTTTTAGAGAGATGGGAAGGGAGGGAGAGAGGTGTGAGCGGGGACAGAGAGAACAGAGACATTGATTTGAGAGAGAAACTGACTCGTTACCTCCCCAAACTGCCCCACAGGGGGATAGAACCTGAAACTTACGGGGATAGAACCTGAAACTTACCTAAGTACCGGCTCAGACGGAGAATAGATCCTTCAACCTTCTGGTGAGGACACTTCGACCAACTGAGACACACAGCCAGAGCTGTGAGCTTTTAAACATAATTATCTAAGGTGTGGCTCTGGAGATTTTGGGAAGTTGAGAACTTCAGAAACATTCCAAGGGAAAAATAAAAGCCGCTGGAGACTTCTGAACTGGGTGTGTGAAGGGATTTACTGCTTGGGATTTGTAGAAACGATACAAGTCCAGGGCCAGACGTGGTGACTTGAAGAAAACAAAGATATTTTCTTCTACCACGTAACGTTTTGTTCCTTAAGCAAGTTACTGAGCCAATTAAAACTTTAGCTTCCCTTCTGTACTAATAACACCTTACCACCTGTCAATGACTAACAATAAGTTTTATTTTTTATTTTTAAAAGATTTTATTTATTTTAGAGAGGGGAAGGGAGGAAGAAAGAGTAAAAAACGAACTGCCAGAGATACACTGATCTGCTGCCTCTCTCCTGCCCCCACCTGGGGACCTGGCCCCCAACCCAGGCTTGTGCCCTGACAGGTAATCAACCGGTGACCTCTGGGTTTGTATCAGGATGCCCAACTACCAAGCCACACCAGTAAGGGCCGTTATTTTATACTTTTTCTTAAAGAGGGACCTCTAAAGTTGTATAAGTGTCATGCCCTACAGATGTGCCCGAATGATACATAAATCCTGAAATGTTTGTATAAAACAATAACATTCCCTGAAAATCCCAATATGCTCTCATTTTTCCTTCCCCCTACTACTGCCCAGCCTCTTTCCAATTAACTGCTCCAAGAGAAGCATTAGTTGGTTATTAAGTTTTCAGATCCTGATATTCTTGAAATTGCACATGCTAAGTAATTGCGTGTCCTCGGGCTATCACTAAAACACGTGAGGGATGAAAAAATGCTTATACTTTTCCTCCCACGGTCCAAATTTCTTCTGGCTGGGCCAAAAGTCAAATTAGCAGACAGAGATTAACAGGAGAAAATCAAAATTTTTATACAGAGAGGAGGTGAGGGGATGCCTGCTGCTAAGAAGCCCAGGGGTTTAGAAAGTACTAATTAGATGAAGTAGGAAGGGGAGGACTCAACCCCCAGTTTAGTCCCAGTCAGCTCAGCTGATGACCTTGGGCGACGGCTAAACTTCTCTGAGCCCCGCTTTCCTTACACGCAAAGGGTCGGGGAGGTGAGGTGTTCCGAGTGGATGGAAGGGAACAGGCGTCTGGCATTGGTGCGGGAGGCACCCGGAAAACAGGGCCCGGAATACGGGGAGTAGAATGGACGGCCCCAGGCGGTGTCGCGCACTTTCCGGACACCGGGATTCTCCGAGGTCTGAGTCCACCCCCTTGCAGGACCCTCTGGCACAGCTACTTTTCCCAAACGGGGCCCACCCCGCACAGGCTGGACACTCACGGTCCCTCTAAGCCTCGCCCAGGTACCTGGCGGTCAGTGCCCTTTCAGGCGATTGGTCAGAGCTTAACAAGAGCACCGTTAAAAAAAAAAAAAAAAGAGCACCGTTAAGGGCGCTTTCTACCGACCCGGGTTTCCCGCCGAGGTACCCGCCCAGCCGCCCCGGCGGTCCGGCTTTTGGGCGAGGGCCCCCAGCAGCGCCGCGCAACACACCCTCCTCGCCTCCTCCAGGGCAGCTCTGTGGAGGCGCCTCCAAATGAGGGGGACCAAGCCCTTCTTTTTTCTTATTCCTTGAAAATCAAATTTTTAATACATGCACATGGGGAATTCGCATGGGCATGAAAATTCCAAGCACAGTGAGACAACACTGGGGTCGAGTCATTTTGGACGAAGGAAAAAAGCCGGGGCGGGGGGGGGGGGGGATGGGGTTTAGACTTTAAAAGTGAAAATGGGCAATTTACGGGTAGTTGAGGAAGAGTGGAAAACACACAGCAGTGAAATGCTTGTGCAATTATGCAAGAACAATGGGCTACTCAGTGTATCTCGATAACACACCCAAGCCTGAAGCCCTCCTGTTTATCACACTTGATTCAAACTAGCCTAAGGCAAACATCGGAAGACTTCCCGAAGCAGGTTTTTCCATCTGAATCTCTCCGGCAGGGAACCAGGAGGAGCAAAGTCTCTTTCTGAGTCTTGTTTCTTAATTATCAGCTTAAAAATCAATATCCCAAAAGGCAAAACTTTTGGTCCTCATCAACATATAAAATTTAGTATACATAAAAAAAAAAAGGTAACACTTTAAGAAAGGACAGGGAGCCAAAAAGTTCCAATTAAGGGCCTTTATTCGAGGCAGGACACTTCTATCAGGCGGGCTGAGTCCAAGAAGATGACAGTAACAAGGGAAAGGTAGAAGGGTTTTGAAGGGTGTGTAGCCGACCACTGGGGAGGGTGGGTCACCCTGGATATAGGTGTTTGCAAGACATTGTCCTCTCATCAGGGTGGCTGATTTGGGCCAGAAAGTCCACGAGATTTATGGGCTTTGTCTCTGGGAAAAGCTTGAAGAAGGGGCGGGGGCAGTGAGGGTTCCACTGGTCTCCAGCAGGGCTCCAGACAGCTGCATCTCAGTTGCTTTTGGTAATAAGGATCTTGTCGTGGTCAGGTATAAGACGGTGACACGTACCTTCTTTGTTCCAGCATAAGTGGTGGCTTAGATCTTCCATGTCTCTGTATGTATATTCTGACACTTTGGAGTCAACAAGTTGCAGAAAAGCCTCAGGAAGTTAATTAGAAAAAACAAAGCTGCCAATCCCTCCCTGCTGCAAGGGGCTCATGAACTTTATTTCAATTTCCATTAATCTTTCTCTGGAACATCCACCTGAAGGCTACAACCTGTGTGCCTACCTAGTTCATTTCTAATATGTTACTGAGGATGTATGTAAATGCTTTCAAGTATAAAATAAATAAAAATTTTTTTTTTAATTTTTAGAGAGGGAGAGAAAGATGGGGAGGGAAACATCAATGTGTGGTTGCCTCTCATGTGCCCCTACTGGGGACCTGGCCCACAACCCAGGCATGTGCCCTGATTGGGAATTGAACCCAAGATCCTTTAGTTTGCAGGCTGGCACTCAATCCACTGAGCACAACAGCCGGGGCTGTAAATGCTTTTTGAAGCCAAAATGAATGTCAGTACTCTGGGAGATTCATCTTGCCATACTGATGTTTCTCAAAGCTTGTTCTTCAACAAGCCAGCTGATAGTGCCTTGTCCAGAGATTAATTAGTGTTAATCTCCCAGGTTGTTTGCTGGCACGTAGCTGGGGAAAAGAGCCATTGGTGTCTGTGGGCCTTAACCAATTTTATTTGAAAATGGAGAAATTTCTGGCTCTGCACTACTCTTTGTGATCATAAGAACTCACCTACATAGGATGACCTACTTTGAAGTAAAGAAGGGAGAATCCAATGATTTAGAGAAGATGTGGTGAGAAAATTCTGCAGCCCCTGTGTGAGGTCAGAATCCTTAGTAACTACTTGTTACCCACGGAGACCTACTAATGCTACCTCCTAATGTTTCACAACTCGGATTCCTCACCTTTGTCCTCACAGCGAATATCTGTGTTCAGGATGTGTCTTCTCACCTGCACCACTGTAATAGCCTCCTTATTGAGGTTTTTAATCTTCATTTAATCTCCTTCCAAGTATTGTCTACACTAGGTCTGCTATGTCAGGCTGTGTAGTCCACCTCCAGGGGACCTGGGATGAGGTGAATGGTGGCCCCTGTTATCCTTTCAGCTCAGATGTGCAAATGATTCAGAAAATAGAAAACATGAGTATTTGAGGCTTTTTTTTTTACATAGATAACATACATCCCAAGGAACTTAGCCGTGAGAGCTGATATAAGCAGGCTTAATTTAATTCTGCAGCGTGCATGCATTTTTGCCTGGAAGCCTTAACTAACTCTTGTTCAGTATAATTCACTTTCTTGCTGCTTTAAATTTTACTGGGCTCTGAAATAGGGTGCCTTTTATGATAAGAATTACTTTCCTCCTGAGCTAGAAGGATAGCCATACACAGAACAGTGAGAATAACTTAAATGAGAATGATTACTACATAACTGCATCCTCAAGGAGAAGATAGGTGGTAACAATTTTCATTCATACGTGCCTGTCTTTCATCTGAGTATCTCAAAGGAAGGCAAAATGTAGCTGATGCTGTGTTATAGTGGAAAATTATAACTGCAATTTCCTTATCCTTTTTTTTTTTTTTAACAATTTCCTTATTCTTGAGTGTTTCCTTTCTTAAATATGATATGGAGCTAAAGCATCTTCAGACTTCAGTGTGTATTGATTTATAACAGTTTTCTCTCTTTTTTTTTCTATGCCTCTAACATCAACCCTGACGTGCAAAGGCATTGATGGTCCACCTGCCTTTTGGCTTTGAAGCACTTGCTCTCATTGGAGAACAACAATGATAAGGGACGAATGGACATCTTTCTGAGATGTTCTAAAGTTGTAGTAGAAAAATAGAGATGAAGATGAAGGTAGACCATTTTCTGCTGCCCCAGAATCAGTTCAACCATGGTGCTGACCTTCTAGAAGGTGTCAGGTAATTGGCCTTTCTACTTTCCTGAAGCAAAAGATTCACAGATGTACTCAG